GGACAAGAGTGGCGGCCCGGGCGCGGAGGGAGGGCGGCGGCGCCTGTTGCGCGCAGCGGGCGGGGCGGGCAGGACCGGGCCGGGCCGGGGCGGGCGGGGAGGAGCCAGGCGGCGGCGGAGGAGACGAGCCGCGCTCCGCACGCCCCCGCCCAGAGGGGACCCGGCCGCGGAGGAGGCGGCGGTACCTTGGACAGAGCCGCCGCGACGCGCGGAGCCCGCCCGGCAGCCGCTGCGGAGCGCCCCGACGAGCAGGTACGGGCGGACGGGCTGCGCGCCCCGACGGCGCGGCTGGGAAAACCGCGGGCTCGGAAGTGGGGGGAGCGGGGCCGGCGGGTCCCGGAGAGCGGAACCCAGCCGGGTTCCCTCGACAAACTCCGCGGCGCCGGCGGCACCCACGGGGCCGCCCCGTTGTCGCCGCTCGCGGGTCCCACCGCGACGGGCGGCCCGGGAGGGAAGGGGCTCCCCCGGGGCTGGGCCGTGGGGAGGTGTCGGGGTGCTCCGGCAGCCTCCGGCGGAGAGAGAGCGCTCCCCGACGGGCCGGGGAACCTCACGGGAGGCGACAGGGCGGCTCCCGGCTCCGCTCCTAACGGCAACGGCCGCAGCAGCGCGCCCTTCACACGTCTGTCCCCAACAACGCGTGCAACATCGCTCTGAACTTTAAACATAGATTCCTGAGAACTTTAAGCTTATCTTCCTGATAACAGCGAGAGTGAGGATGAATAGACGGGGGCTGAGGGCGATGCCCCAACGAGATTATATACTGCAAGCTGCCTCCCGAGTCCACAGTGTACAGAGAACTCGTACTCGAGTATAAGCACATGGGGCTTATTTCAGCCCTGCTCTGCTATCTGCTAACGGAGAGATCAGTGCCTTTTGTTGTGGATTTGAGCTGCTGCTTTGAGCTGTGGGGAAGGCCACTCAGCTCCCCAGCCTGCCATAACTCACAGCCACCCTGCTAAGCTGCTCACCCCGGCCCCCCAGCTAAGCCAGCTGTAAATAAAAACAGCTAGGATTAATTTTTTTTTTTGCCTAATAACTTTGACAATACACCTCACAGCTATCTAAGTGAGCAACTTTGAAGTCATCTTGAATTTCTGCGGGATTTTCTCTTGCGTCTGTTTCCTTTTCCTTTATTAAGCAAATAGAGGATTGGGTGTGATACTAAGCTGGCAGCACCCGAACCAGAGACAAAGCCTCAGTTCATCCCCGTGACAGAGAAAAGTACAGTCCAGGCTACCATCCCCAAACCCTTTATCACACTGATTTTACAGATACGCGAGTCTGTTATTGGTAGCATTTCCCACAGCCACAGAGCCAGATTTTTTCTTTAGGGGAACACAGTTTTAGGGGCTCTGTATTTAAACACAGGTGGGGAGCCGAGTCCAGCACACAAACAACTGGGCAAGCCCCAGTCTTCCCAGAGTTAGAGGACAAGTCCATCATTTCAGTGCTTGGAAGCTGTGTTGCTAGCGGAAGAGCACACAGCTAAGCCATGAGACCCGGGTAACACACAAGAGGGAGCGGAGCAGCGCAGCGGGTTAATGTGGCCTTTCCGTGAGGGAAATTGTCTCTCACCTGGGTTAAAATCATGAGCAGATGACAGATCAACATGAGTTTGCTGTGTGGCTCATTGCGGGGCCCCAGGGACATCTATCTCTCAACCTTATCCAACCTACTTCACAGCACATGGCCCCACTGGCAGCCGGTGCAGGGCAGGATCAGCACAAGATGTCAGTGACCACATACTCATTGGCAGAGCCACGCTGAAGCCGATTCCTCAGGAGAGGAATAATGCACAGCCATCCCTGCCCATTGCCAACCAGAACTCTTCATCTCACTTTCATATGCTGTAGGTTTTTATCCAAATTGTTTTTAAAAGCTGTTGTAGAAATAATTCAAGTGCCCTGAACGTATAATCCCAAGGGTTTCAGAAAAGAAACATGACATTCTTTCCTACTTAGTCCACACGTGTTGTCTTTCATATTTTGCATGCACACAGTGCAAAGTAATTTAAAAAAAAAAAACCACTAAAAAACCCCCAAACAAACCAGTCACCCCTCCATGATCCATCAAGACCTGACTGAACACATGGAACTTACTCTGCTTTAGCTGTACCACTCTAATTGAAGGACAGCATGGGCACTATTAAACTGAAAGAAATATTTGCACCACATCGCTTATTCTAACAAACCAGTCACCCCTCCATGATCCATCAAGACCTGACTGAACACATGGAACTTACTCTGCTTTAGCTGTACCACTCTAATTGAAGGACAGCACTATTAAACTGAAAGAAATATTTGCACCACATCGCTTATTCTTGTACAGAAAATGAGTAAGAGGCATCTGTAGAAGTGAAAATCAGGATAAGCACAATACCTGAGAGACACAAGTGGAAGTATTTGCTCTGGCACAGATAACTTCAGTGACTTTTGGCAGGTTAAGCTGTCTCCCTGGATAGGTATATGCTATTGGGAAAGGCTGCTGTGAGAAGCAGCTCAAATGCAGCACATGCCACCCCTCCCAGTCCTCCCACAGCCAGCCTGCCAACCTAGGCAGGCTCACCAGACTCCCCACCCACAGCTATGCCCCGAAGCACTGGCACCCTGCGAGCTTCTAGCCTGCAGGGGGTAAAAGGCATGTTTCCATCAAGCTCCTTTCCACATCTTTAACATGAAGATGACAGCACTTCACTGTGTCCACAGAACCGTGGAATGACAAATACATTTAAAGACTGTGGTGCTTTCATATAAAATGGTAAAGGGAGGACATATAAGATCCTTAGATATAAAACTGCAACCAATATTACCTGTGTCGACATAAGTACATTGAAAGAAAAGTCACCTCTTTCCTCCGGCTAACATCTAACATTAATACAAAGCGTGCAGATCATGGCACAATGCATTGTGAAGTAAATAAGAGTGACAAAATAAACCATGCTGAGAAGGGATCATTTATGTGCATCAGATAGTTCTGGATAAAGAAATTTATAGCAAAATGAGACAAACAATGTCAGAGCAATCTCCACAGGGCTCAGTTCAGCTACTTCTGGATGTTGTACTTCTATTTCTCTTCAGTTTTGCATTCTGAAGCTTTTGTGTATGCTTGCGCAGGGAATACTCCCCATGTACATTTTGGTTGTAAATAATGGGTACTGACCGGACTTTAAATCTTTTCTATTTCCAGAACTGAGGCGTGAGGCTCCATAAGTGCCCCCAAGTGGCATCAATTTCTGTACTCAACAATAGTTATCAAAAGAAATGCAGGAATGCCTGTCCTAGAAAAAAACATGCAGAAGAAAGAGAAAGATACATGCAGCAAAGATGAGACAGTAAGTGACTGCTTCCAGAAAAACAAAAAGAAAAAGAGGTTGAAGATAGATGACTTAACAGCTTTTAATGCTGTAAACTAATGTAAATGAATATAATAATTGTAAACCAATCTCTGTTCCAGAGCTGATTTCTTCATTTCAGGGAACACTAGTTAGGCTGCAGCAGTTTATAATCAGGAACTTTGATCTAACATTAGTGCTTCTCATATCCAATGCATTCTTCCTTCGAACATCATGTGCAGAAGTGAAATATTATTACACAACAGTAGATGCGTTACTACACAGAGATGGCATATAATTATTTCTTAATAATAGAGAACTATCAAACTATCACATATGATTCATTTTCAAGCTGGTTTTAAAAATGCCAGATGTTTATGCCTATAAATAGTCAACCCCTTGGGTTTAAAGCTTTTTTCCTAAGCAGAGTCATGGACTGTACTGTAACCTTACCCAGAAAGACAGAGCCAAAGCCAGGTATCCAAACGAAATACTATTTGGCACATCTATTTCCACTGACCAAGAAACCAATGGCAGAAGAGATACATCCTGTCTAAACGTAGCTTGAAACTGTAGAATTACCATTCTTTTATTTCTGAGATCCAGGGTACATTACAGGCTAAATTGGATTTGCATTTCCAGTAATACAGCTATTATTGTGACACTTCTTATGAGTATCTGAAATCTTTGGTTTCTAGATAGGGAAACATAACACAGCACTGACTTTTCTGTGGATGTCCAAAGGCAGAGCTGGTATTTTTGCTCAGAGGACACCCACTCCCTGCCTTCTGTTAGGAGCACTTCTCCCCCCTCCCTCCCTGCACACACTAGCAAAGCCTTGCTCTGAGCAGCAGGTGGGACTAGGTGATTGCTGGACATCTCTTCCAACCAAAATCACACTATGGTCCTGAGATCCTGTGAAAACGAACGTCTTTACATCAAGAGCTATTAAACCTCAACTTTGTCTGCTTTAGGAGACAGACAAACATCAAATTAGAGAAATAAACCCTCCAAAAGTTTATGGTCTACACTAACCACTAATGGACAAGCACAGCTGAATTAGATGACAGTTTCTCAAGTGGGAGACATGTCCAACTCCTTGAGGAGCCATGCCTAGAGCATCATAGCCTCTTGAATCTTCCAGGTCTTTGCTTGATTTTCCCAATGCCCTCATAATTCCTCTGGCTTTTAAATGACTAATTTCACTTCACTTGATTAATTTTACATTAAAAAACAAAGGAAGCTTAATTGCATGGACAGCATGAAATTACTTTCTTCCCAGATACTATTGGTTTCTTGCTCCAAACAGGATAAGGATAAAGCAAGGATAAACAGAAATGTTTTATCAAGCCTTCTAGGAGGCTTCCAGACTGGCCAACAGCAGGGTAAAACACAGGTTGATTGGGGATTGTATATAGTCAGTGCTAATAAACAAGTAGACCTGTACGTGTTCTATTTCTGCAATTTTATAACCAGTCATATTACCAATCAGAATAGCATTAACCCAAGGTTTTACTAATCACAAGCTAAATGCACTTCTTTGCTATTGAAATACTTTCAGCACTATTTCATTATTATTTCCTAGAGTCTAGCTCAGACTATATGCTTGCATCCTGCCTATCTGCCTGTTTGTCCTAGGATTTCTAGAATTTTTACCAAGGAATATTCTCCTGTTTTCCACTAGTTTCCTCGTCTATCCATTTGAAATCCTCATTGGCAAAAGGCCTACAAACAGAGCTACTAGAAAGCTACCACTGCTTCAGTATTGCGTACAACTGCATAATATGTCCTAAAATCCAGGCACTTTAAGACTGGAGTCACACAATTTCATTTGCAGTAATCAGGCATCTCAACTGCTAAAACAGAATAAATGGATTAAAGGATGCAATATATTACTCAGAAATAGAAGAGAAAAAAAAAAAAGAAGAAAAAAAGAGAGGGCACTTTAGAAACAAGTAGAATTACTTGCTAATCTCTTTTTTGTTCTATGACTAGGCAGTGCCAAAACTTCCAGTCCCACCACTGCAACAGACCTTACACATGTACCTACAGTGCATGAAACACTTGGTGCCAGAGGAACAATTTAGAAAGACCAAGGCCATCGTGGAACAGTTTGGAATTGCAGGAGGCCTGGGGGAATCCTTGCAGCAAATCCTCGAGGAAAGAAGGGAAAAGACAACAAACTGGGTAGGCTAATGGAGATGAGAAAAATAACTGCTGTGTTAGATGATGACCATTCACAAACTCTTTGTGATGTTCTATGTGTGATCACTGCTTTCTTTCAGTGGGTCAATGCAAACACGAGTCGCATCAGATTCCAACAGAAAGAATGGATATTTCTGACATATTAGGCAAGAATTTTCAAACAATGTCAAAATCCATGTTGTTATTATGTTTTCAGATCAAGAGCTTGTTGACATAAATGAAGGAATTCATGCATGTCAGGTGCACGCATGCAGGTGTCAGTTCTACCTGTAAGAAGCACTACATTACATCCTTTGTGGATGTAATTTCTTCCTTTCACTTTAATAACAGGATTTAGAGTTTTTATTAAAATGAAAAATGCTTACTGACAGGGCTATAAAAAGTGCCTTGCATGCCCATCTAGCCAAAGCTCTGATCCAGTCAAATTATTCTGGAATGGAATACTTTAGGATAGGAATTACTTTTTTTAAATTAAGCTATTATTTGCCATTCATTGTCACACCATACCAATGTAGTTACCCTGAAGTATTTACTTTGCTGAATATATACACGCATGTGTACATAAATGCACATATCTATCACATAAGACCATGCTGAGACCTCAGCCTTTAAAAAAGTCCCGCTTTCTGCTTCCCAAGACAGGAAAATTAAATAAGGTCTAGGTAAAACAGATTTTATCATTCCACAAAGTCTTCCTGCCTGCATTAACCATGTTAGAATTTGGCAGCTGAAAGGCAGAAACACTGATTTTATTGAAGTCCTTCCATCCCAGGAAGAAAGAGCAACAATGAATGCTTTCATAGATTCAGTGAAATCCTGCAGACTTGCTACTGATGTCAGTGAAGTGTGGTTCTCCCTTAACTTTTCAATTGCATGACCCAGAAGAAAACTCCATCAAATTGCTGCTACATGCAGGAAAAAAGTCTACAGTACTGGCAGTGCTTTTATTTTAAAAGCAGTGCTTAATTTCTGAACTACTTCTTGCCACAGTCTGAGGGCTCCGCTAAATGCTGCCCAATCTCATTTTGTTATTCTGATCATAGAACTTGATGGTTTTGGTGGCTAAATTAACCATCACTTAGTGTTCCTGGTAACAAATAGTGTTCCAGGAGACAACTGTTCACTTAACCACTTGCAGCCTGAAAATTACAGAGGATGGATGTATTTGCATTTTCTGAAATGTCTCAACTTTAAATACTGGTTATTAAAATTAAATTCCTGAGTCTTAAGATAAACTAGAAACGTTTTTATTTGGAATTTAACTTGCCAGGAGTACAGCTCTAGCCTGTTCTCCTGAAGACTCCAGAGACTGTGGGGGAAGCATCTGTTCTAACAGCAATGAAATATCTCAGAGGAAAACTTTTTCAACTGATGCATGCATTCATAATTATTTTTGCATAATTTCATTGTTGTTTATAGTAACTATATGCAAAGCATGCCCACTAGACTCAGAAAGACCATTTGATCTTTTTATGAAAGCCTCCATTTTCCAAATAATGATTCTTCAAACTCTGCTCAGACGTACAGGAATGGCGTTACCATACATCTGTATTGTCAATAAAAATGGTTAGAGATTTAGTACGTATGTCTGTCTGGGTCAAGCATCAGTAATCTGTATTTGTGTCAGTGGACACAGAGGGAAGTCTCCAGGGGCCCTATGCACATGCCAGTATCTGCAGGACCAAATCATTAGGCTCGGGAAATTCTTTTCCCACTCTGTCTTGCTACAGGACAGTATCTGATGGCTAACAACAGAGCATCTTGGCACCATTAATAAATATTTGAAGCCCCCTGAGGAAAGTCATCACCAGTAAAGTTCCGTCAATCTCTTAAATATATCCGAATTACTATTCAAGAGTCAGCACTTGGCATGTTGTACTCCCATTGGTTATTTTTTTTTGTTGTCGTAGAGAGAAGCAAACAACAAAATACCCAAACCACCACAATATGGGCCTTGTTTACTTTTTAATGGAACACACTACAAATTGCCATTGATTGAAAAATAGGATTATGGAATTGTGGCTGATTTCAGCTGAGCTGAGGTCACATAGCCCAGACTGAAAATGCTCAGCAGCTCCATTAATCAGAGCCCATGCCTGACACCAGGAGCACCAAGCACTCTCCCCTCACCCCAACACTGCCTTTCTGCTTGTTGTTCATAGCTTTAAAATTTCATGTCCCCTTCCTTCAGGTGTTTAACTACTGGCTGGATGATATGTACCTCAACAACCGGCTAGCTCTTCCAGTCAATTCCAGCCCAGCAATTATCTTTGCGCGTCAGCATTTCAAGGACATAAATGACCAGCTGAGGTAATGTACTCCGACTTTGCAGCTTTTGCTAAATGAAAGGATATTTTAAATGCACTGCTTTTGCAAAAACACAATCAACTTTCATTAAAAACTAAGAGCTGTAATGATGATTTCCCTACTAGGTCTGCGGACACTAGGGCAGTGTTTCTGGAGTTACTCATACTTATATTCAGAAATAAAAGTGTTGTTACTATTATGTTTATTGCATGAAAACAAAATGCCATGGGATTTATAATTTTTAAAGGAATATTTGCAAAGCTTTTCATTGCGTAATTCAAGTAAACCACTGTGTGATGGAAAAAAGAAATACTAATTTCTGACACACTGTTGAAAGAAAAACAATCTTTTACATGCCATCACTATGACTTATATCTACCCTGCAAACTGAAAAGGCCACGCTGGCATTAAATTGTCCCTCTCAGGTACCCAAAAGGGCACCAGAAACCCAGGGGATCTAAGAATAAGAATTCAGAAATCATTCCTCCCCAAGACTACTGTTCCCTTCAGGCCCATCCTTCCCAGTCCTGAACTGACCTTTCTCCTTTGAGCTGTTGTGGGCAATTACAATAATTTAAAAAGTGAAAAGGTAAACAAGCAGCCAAGCACAGAATATACCTCTCCAGACACCCTTAATCCATTCTTCAGCCTTTGCCAAAACATTTTCGCCTTTTAAAACAGTAAACCAGATCAAATCTACCTTCATATAGTGCAATTTTCCTCTTTGCTTTCAGCACTCTCTAGCTGCTCATTACTGAAAGAATTAACTGCATGTGAATTTATGCTATTATTAAACAGCCAGAATGTTGAAGCCGATATGTATTATTTTAACATTTTGCAAAGACAGCCAATGTATCTTTTTACTTTAAACATAACTATAAATGCTTCCATTCATTACTGACCAAATTTATTGTGCACACAGCTTTCAAAAAACCTCCACTTTGCATTTTCTAATGTACGTGCTTTAACAAAGAAATATTTTTCTCAGAGCCTCCCATTCAGAGACAGTGCAAATGGGCAGTGTCAGGAAATAATACACCTGTCCACAGCTCTGCCGAAAGAGTATCTGCTTAGGACAGGAAGTACTCTAATAAATTGGACAGCTTATGAGTATTGATATTGAAATCCATGTTAAGGATTCTATTAAATATTCAGCCTCTGCTCCCATTCCCTAAATAAATGCTTTCAGGCTTCCTCCTGTGGTAGTCTGTTTAACCATTTGAAGGGACCATCTCTAGGATTTCATATTTCTTTTGACGTGAATTAATTCAGATTTTGGGTGGGGGCCAAGCCAGAAGACTTTCTCTCCTTATGCTGTGTCATCAATCATTCAGGCTCTCCTCTGTCTCTCAGAAACAGCCTAGTGTTGCCGAATGGCAAAAGACTGATGTCACTTCTATCTGCTACTTGCAGGTTTGCTGCCAATCTCATTTCAGGAGTGCAAGACTATAAAGCTTTACTTGACACGTAAGTAGCATGTAAGGAGAGCTGCTGCTTGAGTATCTGCAGGGCTTCTGATTCAAGGGTGCTCTAACATGCCCAAAGTCAGGCTGCATTGCACCTCTCTGCCATTTGGAAGGGTTGGGGCTCCAGCACGCTTCAGGCCAAGCACTTCAGCAGTTTTTTATGCGCTTTCTGCTTTATTACTGCAATCTAACAGTTTTTGATGCCTGGTCATCATCACTCTTGCACACACAGTGCAGCCCAAAGGACACACACAATCTACCAAATAGAGCTATTGAGAACACACCAGGAAGTCTGTGCTCCCCAGACCCAAAGAGCAGCAGCGCTGTGGTTACACAGCCTGCACACCTTCCCGGGCACCAGACCCCTGCTGGGTGCTGCACCCCCCCTCCACGTACTGCACCCTCCATTTAGAACGTCAAACCCCTGGTCTCCCTCCCACCAAAAAAGAAATAACACATCCCACCAGGAGAAGGAGGCCTCGTCACAGACAGGCTGGTTCATTGGATAGCAAAAATAAGCTACTTATACCATTGTTACTTTCTGTGTATAAACACGGGGGAAATCCCGGATTCATGGTCATGTATGAGGTAGCTCATAACAGCATTCTACACAGCACTTCTTAACCTCACCTAGTATGTTCCAAGTTTACTGCTAAAATCACTATTCCCTGAAGAATAGCAACAGCAGAGAGCCAAGTATGATGGGTACCACACCATAGTGGGGAAGGGGTCATTTTCCTATCTGGAAATACAAGAGGCCTATGTGACCTGCTTTAACCACCACTTATTTGGATGAGGAAGGCAAAGTCCATATTCAAACAACAAAGTCCCTATCATCTATTAATTAGATAAAAGAAAGAGGAAGGGGCTGTTTGACTTTTCACTTTGAAAGTCTGACAGCTACTCAGAAAGTATAGAAGAGGTACTCATTTAAGAACACATGCTTTTGTCCAAGATATGGCACGCAACTGCATACACAAGCACTGACGGGCTGTGAAGTACTACTGCATACTGATGTAGCTCATTGCATCTTTATATGACAGCATCTGAGATGAGCTAAAGAAACCGTATTGCTCTAACAAGGGATAATTTAAATTCTCGTTATTTTGACCTCTCTACTCTAGATCCAAAGAATCCTGTGATCAGATTTGCAGATATTTCACGCAGTTGCCAGGACTAAATTTTTCAAACAAAGCCTAACTTGCTCACAAAATAGAGTTATAAGATCTACAGGAACTTCTCCTAAATCAGTACCAAATGTTCTGGTGCCATCAGGGTTAATAACTCCTTTCTTAATTACTATAATTATAGATTGTCTTAAATATATCTACCATGCTATTCCAGTATTTTAGATCACCATAGACGCTCTTTAAAACTCTGCTAAATGTAAGGATTTCTGCATTATGCAAAATGTGGAAGAATGATAACACTAATAACCCCATTTTGCTGGTAAGGAAGAAAAAAAAAAATATTAAGCACTGTAAAAGGAAGTAAGTGATACACAGAGTTTGAGAGCCAGGAACTAAAGTGAATATTCCTGTTTTAGAATTTCAACAGTTCTAAAGAGACAGTTAAACAAGATAAACTAGCATAAAACGTTACCCCCCATCAGCTGTACAACAGTAACCCTCCTTGTGTGTTTCTTTGCCCCTGCCCCTCTCTGGCAGGCTGGAAGCTTAGTCATTTTTTGCTGAGGGAAAACCTCTGCACAAGATCTTCTTCCTCCTGTGGCCTCTGCAGCCTCTCCCGAGCATTATTTCCTGCTGCCATGCCAGTGGGATATTTTACATTCCATAATTATAATTTTGATAACTTCTCTTTTTTTCTGGCCACTAAAGAAGCCTTTTCAGAGGCGTTGTTTTCATATGCCTTCCAATAAAAAGGGAATAGGTTTTCAGCACTTATTCCCCCATAGGCCTGAACAAGGACTAGCACTTAAGCGAGGCTCTGTGGAAAACAGAAATGTCCTCTCTATTGCCCCAGTCGTTCTGTTCATCAGGCAAGGCCCTCACACACTCTGTAGCCACCCTGCACAGTACAGGGCCACTGTAATTTGCCATTCATTTCATCAGGACTTTTTTTTCAAGGTAGTATGTCTTTTCCAGCTGCTCTGCTGACTTCCATCCTGGCAAGTTTCCAGGGTCCCATCTAGGCAGGCTTCCCATACACATTGCAAAGCTGCTTGTGACCTGCTATTCTTTCCATTTCCACTAGATGATAATGCAATTGCTTAACGAATATGCATGAAGCTGCCAGGAATGATGTATTTAACTTTGGTATGGGAATTCATCTATTTCCCTTATACTGTAATCTCATTTTATTATTCAATTTGTGTTATACCTGATCTAATTGTAACAGAACAAAGGACAGATTAGATTTCTTTTCCTTTCTGTCTCTCTCTCTCCCCTCTTTTCCTCTGGCTTTGTTTTTTTCCTTCTCTCTCTCCAGCCATGCTTTACCTGTTGATTTTGCTCGTGGACAGCTGTCTGGTCATCCTCTCTGTATGAAGCAATACTATGGACTCTTTTCTTCCTATCGTCTTCCAGGACATACCAAAGATACCCTCGTGGCCCAGAAAAGCAGTGTAATGCCAGAACCAGAGCACATCATTGTTGCTTGTAACAATCAGGTAAATGGGTGGGGTTTTTTTTTATACCTGTCTATATTTCTTAGTTTGTTTGAATTCACTCAAGAAGAGCCTCATCCAATCACTATTCAGAAAGACAATTAAAGTGCTACATGTGAGCTCACTTCTTACCAAGCATTCACTGTCAGGTTTTCCAAAAGATGCTTCTGCAGCATTTTTGTTCTCAGCCCACATTATGTTTTAAGTACAGTGATGCAGAAAGGAAGAATGTGGCAGAATTCATTTGCTTTCTCATTCAAACAAAAATGTTTATTAAACGGAGATGAAACCACAGAGAAAAAAATATCCTATTAGAGTGCATTTGCTGGAAATGCTGTTCTCTTGACAGTCAAGTATTGGCACACAACGCATGGCATATATACCATCATCCCATGTAGGGGGTCCTAAGCTATGCCTGAAGAAGTTAGCACAGATGTAGGCAGAAATACTGAAGTATTAGAGTGAATCTGCCCCAACCAATAAATGCTGTCAAGCAGCAGAGTATATTGGCTGGGCAGAGTACCTTGTAGTCCAGCTCAACTATTTGTAGCACTGTAGTACCGTGCCTGCTGGCCCCTTGCAGTGAAAGGGCAGATCCCTATGGTCCCTTTTCCAGGAAGTCCTGTTCTTCACCTCAATGGGAAGTTCTCTAGATTCTCTAGGTCATTTTTAAACAAATAATACCATGAACATTATTTACATACTTCCTGATTTTATCTATTCAGGCTTTTTTTTAAGCTTATTCAAATAACATGCTTTATTTGAGCCCAACACATAATTTAAGTTCCCTATAGCAACTGGCATTACACTGGTGCAAACACACAGGAGGGGTGAGCCCTAGGCCAGTCCCCAGTGTTTTTAAGCTCCATTCCTCACGCTTCTGTCTCTCCAGGCAGGACTTCATCGTCTTAACATCACCCAGGCGAAAGCAAAATGTTGGACCAGTAAGGGTCCAACCCGTCTGTGACTGTTCTTCTGACTTCTGTCATTTTTTTGCAGTTTTTTGTTTTGGATGTTGTCATTAATTTCCGTCGTCTCAGTGAGGGAGATCTTTTCACTCAGTTACGAAAGATAGCCAAAATGGCAGAGAATGAAGAGGAAATGCTGCCTCCAATTGGCCTGCTGACAACAGACGGAAGAACAGAGTGGGCAGAGGCCAGGACGATCCTTATGAAAGGTTAGCAGCAGCAATCCCAGCTTTCTCTTCTTCATCATCTTCCTCCTCTTCCTCCTCACCATCATTGCCTTTCTTTGCTGGGAGCGAACATTACAGCAAATATAGGACTGAATGTGCAACCTCACTGCTGAATTTTTCTAGCAGGAGGAAACTCAATACCTGTACATGTTCAGACATATGTTACCAGGGAAGCAGCATATATCGTTTGACCCTTTGACTGTATATGTTTAAGTGTTTTGCCATGTAAATAGCTCTCACTCCATTCCCTGTCTTTCATCACATAAATTACATTACATCAGATTTTGTGATTTGTCTCCTCCTTCATATCCATTTTGTACCAACAGGAATGACGGATCCTCTTAGCTTTTGGCAACTATTAGACATTTCTCATCTTATCTAACAGAGGCGTCTACAAGTTAAACACCCACTGAATCTAGCTGTGTATTCTCCCTAGTCAATGGAGAAAACCAGAAAGTACCAGGGCTGATTCATCCAAATCTTAAGTAAATATCTAGGAAAAGTGGCACCAGTTATCATCTGACACTAGTTCTCTCTCTTTTCCAACAATAGGCAGCATTTAGCTCTCTTGGATTCTGGACTCAAATGCCTAACTTTAAAACAGATGAAAAGAAAGGGTGGGATTAGTCACCTCTATCACTTTGCACCTTAGATAATTTACCTTGATGCTAAGTGATGTAAACACCCTCTTTTTGCCATTTTAGATGAGTTAGGGATTCATTTCCCCACCTTGAAAAAAATGCAAACTCATCTCTTTATCCTTAGTTTAGCAATGCTACAGAAAATATTGCTATTTTACCAATGCTCTGGAATATACAAGAGTTGCCAATAATCTCAAAGTATGTTTACCATCCCAAGGAAGATCTTCCTTTTTCTTATGCAAGTTTATCTGTGCTTATAATAACTTTATATAGATACAAACACCCCCTCCCACCCCGAGTCCTGGTCATTATTACAGCATTGTAACTTGGTACCAATCTCATCTTCAGGCTTTCCTCTCTCCTCCCTGTCTTTTCTTTTTAAACCAGAAGGAAAAAAAGATGCCTTGGTTTAATAAAAATGAGATAAACACCTAATCGTTGACTTTCATGCCACGCTTTTAAGTAGAACAGTGAATGCCTTGAAACCTGCAGCAAAATCAACTATGTAAACCTACACTATTCTAACAAAAAAAAAGAGAAATCAACAAAAACTAGCAGCACCATCTCTATGGTGTTTCTAGCCTGGCATTTGGCAAAATTTTAATGAGGAAGTAATCCATCTTAGTTATGCCCCTGAAAAAAACAGATTTTGCACTAGCAAATATCACAGCACTGATGTGAGCCTTCTATAGTTTAGAGCAGGAATCCCATCCTAGACCACCCATATTAGCACAGCTCCTCCATATAGTATAACGCATCGCTGTTACATGTGGATACATGATTATTAACAGCCCTTTATTCTTTCTTATCTGCGGTGAAATATTCATGAAACAATAATTAAGAGAGGAAGAGAAAAGCCTCTAGTGAAGCAGTGCGAGGTGGAAGAGGTCACTCCACAGCTGTTCTGTACTGGGCAGGGAAAGAGGATCCTTTGGGACAGAGAAGACCTATACAGTGCGCTACAGAGGTTATGAAGGAGATACACACATGGGCCTGTACAGAAACACAAGTGGAGGATAGGTCTTCTAGGTTAGAAAATTTCAAAGAAACTGTAACAAATCACTGATTTATAAACATATTCAGTACTTTAACTGCATTCAGGCTGCAGAACATACTCATCTAAGTAAAGGAAATTAATTCTTACTGCTATAGGGGCTACTGTTCTATGCACACTGTATCTGAATTTGATTCAGAACTGTCTCCTCATATTTTCCTTTTTAAAACAAAACCCCAAACCCACAACTAACCAAAATCTGACTGACCAATTCAATGCAATTCTTCAGATTAGAAAGGAAGAAGGAAGGAAGGAAATGTCTTGCAGGGCTTTAGGCTTCTTCTCACACTTCTCCTCTGTTGCAGCTCCTTTAGAAATATTTATTTTCCATCCCAAGTCATGGTTCATCAGTTCTTGTGCAGTTCATTGCCTGCTTTATATGATAATTGCTTCAGTGTTTGATCAGCTCTCTGGACATGTCTGTTTATTTCTGTAAGGGCATATTTCCCCTACTTTTCTGTTTCTGGCAGAGCATAATTTTTATTCACTCTAATACCTAGACTCAAAATACCTTGAAGCCATATGTCAGAATAAGGGCTTCATATCTGTCAAAGATGTGTGGGCAGCAGCCACAATAAAATATATATAAACCTATCAGAAAACATAAAGCAGAATGCTGAGCAAGCTGTGAACAGTTTGTAAATCACTATCCAAACAGCTTTTCCTTGAAGGTGCCTGTCTGCAAATACCAACAGCTGATATATTCGGGGCAACTTCCATTCACAAGGATATTTTCAGCCTTTGCATTGATATACTCGGACCATCAATGGAATAAATACCACAATTACAGTCAGCCTTGCAAGTGTCAGATACTAGAAGATCTTTACAGCCAAGAGGACAGGGACACGTTTTCTCCCTTATAAAGCTTCTGAATGCTTTTGAAGACAATTCATAGGGACATGAGTGTTTCACATGTTGCAGAGCAGCACAGATCACTGGCAGAAAGCTCAGCCTATCTGCATGCCCCATCGATTACAATCTCTCAGCTCAAATGTTTGTAGGAGCTGGCAGGAACACCAGGTGCCTTCCCCAGGACTCTGCTTCTGTGTGCAAGGGAAGACATCACACTATGTGCTCCACCAGGTCCCCACACAGCCTGCAAGAAGTCAGGCTGGCCACCTCTGCCACTTGGGACCACAGCTGCCAGCGCTCCCTCGCAGGGGCTGCCAGACAGCAACAGACAGTACCTTACCATAACCTGCTAGAAGCCACAGCTCCCCCTCTTCCTTCTCAGCCACTGTTGGCACTTCACTCTTCTTTTGACATCTTTTTTATTTCTTGCAAGTTCACACTCTTTTTTTGTTACACATCTGGAGAATGAACCTGGATGATAACAAGCATCTGTATTTTTTTCTAGCTCCTCACTAACCTACATTACTCATTTTGGGAAGGTATACATTTTTCTTTGAAAAATGCTGTTCTTTCAGAGGATCAAACTACTTTTCATATTTGCAAACATTAAAAAGATACACATTTGGCTCCATATTTCAATTGCGAATCACTATTGTTTAATTTGAAATTTTTTTCCATTCTTTCAGCTAAAATAATCTCCTGAATTGAGCATAGATTTGTTGAACTTAGCATAGACTTGCAAGAAGTTTTGATCAATTTGAATTTATATCTTTAATTAAGAAAATTCTGAAACAAAAGCATTTTCACCAAAAGCTAGCAAAATCTAGCAGATGAAATCTGATCTGTTAAGAATGGAAGGAATTTAAAGTTGATGTTTGAAAACTCTTTTTCCATTGATCTTGTTAACAAACATTTAACAGCAACTAATGATGTTATATGCTTTTAAATAAAACAGATTCTTGTTATAGGTTCCACACTTTTATCCTTTCAATTAAGAGCTGTATTAAGTGCTCACAATTAAATATTTCCTATGCCTCAAGCTGGCCCTCAGAAGCAAACAAAATTTTATATTTCTGAATTAAAGAAACTGAGAAAAAAACCTGCATAAATACACTATAAAATTAGGAGGAAAGCGCTGAGGTCAACGTAAAAATAGCCTTTGTAGTCCATCTGTAGAAGCATGACTGACAGAATAGGGAAAAGAAACAGAGAAAGAGAGCCAGAAAAGACATGTTTTGTCCACCAGTACACTAGTGACTATGAGGGAAGTAGAATGTGGCAACCCATGATTTTGGCAATACCACATTTGAAAGCTAAACCTCACAGCCTCATCCACAGATGTTTCCTTGTGATATAGGCAATATACCCAATCCAGGGCTTTCTTCTCTAAAGTACAAGAAATGACCAAGACCAGGAGAGAGAAGAGGGTTTTCATACAAAACCACAAAACCAACACGAGCCCTGTTATTCCTTGTCCAGTAAAGGGTTTTAATGGGAGAACGGCACAAAACCAGTACAGGCCGTGCTGTTCCAGAGCAGAATACTGCAGCACTGCAGCAAGTGTGAGCTCTGAAATTCTCTATTTTCCACCTGTCCTCTCTGTAACTGTTACATATAAAATAAGTAAGCATTGCTGGCTTTAAAATAAATCTATTTTGTAACATAATTACTTCAGGAAATAAAAGGCAGAAAAAGAAAGTGGACGTTGTTGAATCCCATGAAAGACACACAGAGATATTGCAAAAGTTAAAACATGAATGAATGCCTTGGTGTAACTTTTCCTGGCATTGAGACGTTCTGCTGTTGAGAGCTCTGCAATTGCCAGCTCATTGCAGAGCCAGGGTCAGATCTTCAGCGCTCTCCAAGGCTGCAGGGTTCCCCAGCCAGTCCTGTACTACAAGTAAGAGGATGTGAACATTTCACTCTTTTTTCCCCAGACTCTACTAACCGTGACTCTCTTGACATGATTGAACGGTGCATATGCCTGGTGTGCTTGGACAGCCCAAGCGGGGTGGAACTCAACGATACCAACATGGCATTGCAACTGCTACATGGAGGAGGCTACCATAAAAACGGGGCCAATCGTTGGTATGACAAACCTATGCAGGTAAAAACCTTACGGTACTATGATATTACTCGCACATGGCAAAGGACTCCAGTTGCCCTTGTGGCAGGGACCACTGAGTGTCAAATGGAGAAAGAGGGGAAGGTGGTGTCAGCATCTGCCAAGGCAGGGTGGTGTGAGCAGTGCTGTTCCTTGCAAGGCAGGGGAAGCAGTGCGAGGGGTGCTTCTCCAACACAGGTACACTTTCACCTTCCCTGAAGTTGCCTGTTGCACTTGAGGGGGAAGACAGATACACATGATACAGGTAGGTACACATCTGATTAAAAAAAACCAAACCCAGCCACAATACAGTACGCATTTAGTTGTACTCAAATGCTGGGCTAGCATTCTAGAATAAAAAAGTACAACAGCTTTCTGTTTTCTCACACATTTTCCTGACATCCTAGAAATACTACTGCTTATAATTTAGCATGTGTTTAAGTTAGTATTAAGTTCTCACTTAACAGAGTGTTTACCCATTTAATGACATTCTTGTTGAGACTTTCCTGCAAGTACTGATTTCTCCAGCCTTTTTCCCCAATCAGATTTTGATTGTCATATTTGAAAGTGTTGCACTGTTAGTTTCACTTTTTGCAACAGACCCAGGGTGAAGCAATGTATTAATCTCCAACTGTCAACAATGCTGACACCTCATGAAAAATTGAAGAACCCCTGACTGATACATTGCTTGTGCAATGCTTGTTGCTCTTGCCATATCTAAGAACAGCAACATGAAAAGAGAAACCACTAATTTCAATTGCACTGACCTACCCCAGTGCAAATACCTTTCAATAGTCATTCCTGACATTATTACCCAATGCCAGTGCTGTGTTTTTAAAGAATAAACCATTTGCTTTAGTTAGAATCCTCTGTTATTTGCAGGGCCACTAGTTGAGATGTTTCAAGCAAATGAGAATAAACATGATTTTGTTTACTATCACAAAGTAGCAGAAAGCAAATAAATCTGTATAGTATATGGGCAAGCTTCCTCTGTTGAGATGTATTCAGGCCAGAAGTAGTTTAAAAGCAAAAAGAAATTCGTAGGGGAAAAAGATGCCATTTTCTTTCATGAAAAAGCAGATTACATAGGCAGTAATTCTCACAGTTGAACTTGTTCTTTCCCTCTGCATTCTTCTTCAACTTTGCAGCAAGGCATGCAAAAATATCCAGGTAAACTTTTTGCCTCACATACTTACTCAGTGAAAACCTCATGGGAACCAGGGAGGCAGGATGTGTATGTAAGATACAAACGTGCAGAGCAAGCTGAGCAGGAAAAGTCCAGCCAAAGACGCTTCAAACAAAGTGGGGGAAATAGTCCAGAAAAAGGACAGAAAATATGTGAGATAAGTTGCAGTTTTGTCCTAGACTTCTGTTTTTGTCTGAGATGCAGAAGTAACCAACTGCATGGGGGTATCACAGAACTACAGTACAGCAGGTTAAGCATCACCAGTTATACCATACGTATGCAATGAAATCAGGAATGAAGACAAGTATGAGGCAAATAAAGAAAACATGACCAAAAAAAAGGTAAAAAGGAAGCAGGGTAGTAAAACAAGCTATAAGAAAGCTATCAAATAAGGATGAATTTGCTCATTTGATATGATATTCATAAAGAAGTGATCCTAACAGACTTCCTAGATTGCAGTTGCATTGCCCGCAAATGGAGGCCTGTCTTTCTATTGTTAGGTTTTTCTCTACCATAATGAAGATGCTAAACCCAATTTCTGGACTCCAGTGGGAATTGCTAAAATTTACATTCTCACAGGACTTAGTCCAAAATAGCAGCATGAAAGGGATCAAATGCAACACCATTCACAGGACAAGAAAGCCTCCTGCAATAAGTCTGTAAATCACTCACTGATCTGTAAGTCAAGGAAGTTCCTGATATGAGGAATAGGAAAACCATGGAGAACATCATCTTTTTTTAGGTTGACATCATGGGTAACCTACACAGAACATGGATTGTTCCATATTTATCTTGCATTTGTTCTTTTCCTTGCTTAGTTTGTGGTAGGAAGAGATGGAGTCTGCGGTACCGTGTGTGAACATTCCCCTTTCGATGGCATCGTACTGGTGCAGTGCACTGAACACTTGCTCAAGCACATGTGAGTCCCCTTTCAGTACAGCTATTGTACCCAGGCCAGCCTCTGCCAGTGCCAAATTCCCCCTGATGCACAGGGGGCCACTACAACCCATACAGCTGTTGGAAAACAGTCATTGACATGATAAAAAGCAGTGTTTAACAAATAGATTATTCCTGTGATCTTAGCGACGTTTTTCTCACATGCTAACAGGAAAGAAAGCTCCAAGAAATTAGTCCGAGCCGATTCAGTGAGCGAGCTTCCCGCTCCACGGAGACTGAGATGGAAATGTTCCCCTGAAATTCAGGCACATCTGGCATCATCAGCAGAAAAGCTCCAAAGGTAAAATGGATGCCTCATTTTTCTCAGCAACAACTACAAGCTGGGAACTACCCAGCACAGTGAGAGCAGGCGTGGGTTTCCCCCTGGAAGGCTCGCCCTGCCCTCCCACTCTTCCTCATCTTCCCCAAATGGACATACCTAGAATCTCTTTGCAGGATGGCACCCTTATGGGCTGGAGCTACTTCACTGTATTCAGGAATTGCATTACTATTGTTTTCCTTCCATGTGGATGTTAGGAAAGCTAAAGACCACTGGAAAAACGGTTGAGTCCTATTTGCACAGGATGCAGACAATACAGGTCCTCCTTTTTCATGGATGCACTTTATGGGTTTGATCTGCCTAAAGCTGAAGCCAGGGCAATGAGGATACATATATGGGAAAGTAGAATACAACTGGTTTGAATAAACAATTTGAATTCAGGAATGTAATTTGTTTACGTTCACATTGCTCCTACAAAGGTTAGTTCTTCTGACTGTGTTTCCAGACTGTAAAAGATTTGCATGATCTTTGGGGGTGGGGATGGCAAGGAGAGGGTTTTTTTTCAATTTATTTCATCTCAACACTCAGGCCTGTGATCTTTCTGTAGAGAACTAACACATTGTCTGCATGATCAGCTGTATGTCCAGTGTGATTGCATTAAATCAGACCTTAAAGTGGCTAGAAGCATACATGAGAGTATGAAAACATTCAGGATGCAGAGTAATTCCTTTTTGGTTTTAAATAAAGGTAGCAGTCCTCTAAATTGAAACTTGAAAGGAGCTTACAGCCTTGATTAGGTTCTAAGGCCATTCATTTCTCACACAAGTCAATCTCACAGAAATTTGTTGAGAACAAAGGAGGCCCTGGTTTAGGCTTCAGGCGTGGAAACACTATGGGTTCGTTTCTGGGTTTTGACTGAAATGAATAGAATGACCTGAGTGGCACAGCTCATGCGAAGGCTGCAGGTAACAAGCGCAGTCTAGAACCTGTATGAGTAAAAGTTGCAGGCTGGGAGCAAGTTACCAAAGGCCAGGACTGTCTGCAGGACAGGAGCCTGCTCACCTCCCCGTGAGTACAGGCAGGAAATGATCTCTGGGTTTTATTAGCAAACGGAAACGGAACACGAGATTCTTGCATCTTATCCCACAGTAAGCCTCAGCTTGTTTTCCAGGATAGTAACAAATCTGGATTTTATCGCCTACAAGTTTGAGAACTATGGAAAGGAATTTATTAAGAAACAAAAGATCAGTCCAGATGCCTACATTCAAGTAGCACTTCAGCTGGCATTTTACAGGTAAGGTTAATTCAAATCATAGGAACAATGTAGCACAAGAGGAGATTCACAATTTGTTTTTTTATACAGAGGGTCCTTTTTTTTGCCTCAGCACCCAAACAAATGCCTCCTGCATGGAAATGACTAATCTTGACTGTTGGTAGGTCAGACGAGAAAGAAATTACCACCCAGTTCTGACACAGTACTCAATTCTCTCACTCCCTTTTCTTCTCCTTGCTCTACCTTCCCATCCCTGTGTCCCATACATGCCATTCCCAGTCTGTACCTTCCCCACAGCCGTCTCTCTGCTTGGCATAGAGAAGCAGGTGAGGGGACATGGCAGGGAGTGGCAGACAACTCTGCCACCCACATCAGCAGAAGCAGATAGGGAGTCCAAGTTCCTGGGGCAGAACTGCAGGCAGCCTGGGAGGAACTGTGGCAATAACCCATTGCTCACCACATATGCACCTCCTGCACCACAGGAGGAAATACATTCACAGGGGAAAATACTACAGCACCTATCAGATCAGAGTTCCTGCACAGGACAGTAACTACTGCTGCTTCCTACTTCAAAGGCATCCAAAGATTTGATAATATCATCTAATTTCCATGGTATTATCAAACTTAAAAGCTCCTTTCTATGTTGACAGAAGAGCCAATGCACCAGGCTAGATTGGTTGCATGGTTTCCTGCAAAAAAGCCTATTACATGAATAACTCTATCATGTCAAATGAAACCCTGAAGTGATCTTTACCTAGTCAAAAGCAGAGATGCCTAACACATTTTGTTTACTCCATTAACATCTGTTAAACATCCATTTTGTATTCCTTCACCGAACTCCAACAATGACCTGATTTTCATCTGCATCCCAGCTGTAATATAAATCCCATGTATGCAACAAAAACCTTAGGGGATAGTTATACTCTGAGACCCCTGCTTCAACTGGAAGGCACAGTAGGTCTCCCGAAGCAAGAAATGGTAGCTACATACCTGGACCCAAATTAAAATAGTCCTCATAGCCTGGTCTATTTGCTACGTGGGTTTTCATTCCAGCTCACAGTCTCAAATAGCACCCTTTTCCCCTCTTAGTTTTCTATTTTTCGTTCACACACAGAGCACATTTTTTCTTGTTTCAAATAAAACATATTTCACACCCATAAGTAAATGATTAATTACACAATTATTTTATGGTGCAGTACAAATAAAACATTCCTTGAGATCTTTCAGTAAATTTTAGTTTTACTAGCCTTGTTTTTACACAGCAAGTCATTTTTTACTGGCAATGCATAACTAAAATGTATACAGCTGTATGCAGCTCCTCATATTAGAAAGGAGTAAACATCCATCTTTTTTAAGTTTCTTATAGAATTCTATCAGCATTAAGATGAATACTATGCAAAAAATAAAATCATGGCTGTAACAATAAAACGTACCAAGCCTATATTTCTTTTATTCTTTATGAGTCCTTGAAAATAATTATTCTTTGCTTTTATTACTTCATTCTCTCAGATGCCACAGGAGACTTGTCCCTACCTACGAAAGTGCTTCCATACGCCGATTTGATGAGGGCAGAGTCGACAATATTAGGTCTGCTACCTCAGAAGCATTTGCTTTTGTAAAAGCAATGACTGATGACAAGACAGCTCTATCGGTAGGTTGGTCTGGCTCCCTCTGCCTTCTTTGACAAACCACTAAGCAAATAATGCATTCATGATCTCCAATCTCTCACTTGTTAATGTTAACAGAGAATATAAAGGCATTGGGGGGGGTGGGGGGGGAAGGAGGAGGCAGGTAGCAAGCCTTACAGGACTTTACTTTCTGTGCAAAATAGAAATATTTAATTTTTTTTAAGCATCCAAAAGTTTCACAGGTGCCTAAACATGACATTATAAGAAACAAAACATCTGATTTTAGACTGATCTGATTTAGACATGTGTCTTCTGCATAATCTATCATCAGATCCAAATTCTGCTCCCTGTAGAGATCGAGGCTGAGCACGTGAAGTTCAGGATCATTATACTGCCACAGCAGGGGAATTGCCTGTGAGGTCCCCTGCAGTAGATAGCTCTGCTGCAGATTGCAATGGTTGAGGTGATATAATTCATGCGCTTTAATTTCTGGATAAGGTCGATATATTCTGGCTGATCTTTTTGGTTTTAAAGGTATGTTTCTACCAAATAGAGTTAGATTTATAGGATCCTCAAGGGGGCTGACCCTTCATGATTAAAAGACTTCATCAAGCTAATGAAACAGCTCTCCTAACTGTCCTGACATCATCCTGCAAAAAGAAAAATTAAATTGCCTTTCTTTGAGACACCACCATCTGTTTGCCAGAAGCACGAGTACTGTCAATGGGGATGCAAAGAGGTACAGCTGAGAGAGCTGAGACTGTAACTGCACAGACAGCTTTGTGCACTGTCCCGCCCGCCATCCCTGGAGAGCCTCCCTCAACGTCTCTCTGTGTACCACTTCCACCCACTGCACTTCGCTGCTGTACAGGGAATTTCCAGGTGGCTGTTGAGATGCAAAACACTGCCACAATATAGATTATTTTGCACAGTAAGCCCACTCCAGCGGCAACAGCCCACACGGCTGTTCTTTAGAATCTAGTATAGCATTGCTAGAAGCATTGCTGGCCTGTAGATTAAGTCTAAATTATTAAAATATTTTAAACCAAGCTCTAATGATCCAGAGGATGAGGAAAATTTGCCCAGATAAGTTCCATGTTAAACTCAAAGGAAACCTGAAGTAATCACGTACGCTGAGTGGGTAATTCAAGGTAGATTATGATCATACTGACCATATACACAAAATAGTGACTACCATAGAATAGACAAGAAGAGGCTGTTGCTCTCTGCACAACATGGTTCTTAACCCTATTTCATTAGAAGCTGCTGTCATCTCTGCACACCATCCCCTCCGCACATACCCCCAGCCCCAACAACATTGCTGCCGGCTGACTGTACACCTAGGAGAAGCCAGCCTGCTCCTCGCACATTGTTTTGCCAGATCCTCCTTGTTCCCTTCAACAATCTCTTCCCACCTTCCTTATTCCAACACTGACTGACTTCTGCAGTTCTCCCAAAGCTTCAATATTTCTCACCATTTCACCACCCAAATCTGAGACTGTGCCCACCTTTCACAGCATCCTAAACTGAACTGCTTCCCACAGGCAAGCAGAATGCCATGCATGTCTAGAGTGAGCTCAGTCTCAGCCCTCAAATCTTTGTATCGCATGCTTTGGCTGTACTGAATAGGGAGAATAAGGGTTTAATTACACCTGAAAAATCTGCAATCATAATGCAAAGCAATCCACTGAGTTTTCCTGGCTTCTTGCCCACTGAGAGATGCAAAGGACATTTAAACTGATCTGTGATTCTTTCCTTAAAACAAAGATTTCTAAAAGTTTGTATGTGAACATCTTTATCTTTCAGTTCAAAAGTAGATATATTATTATCACAGAATCATTAGAAACAAAATGCACTTAACACAACCCTATTCCAAGGTGATTTCTTTAGACCTCTAGATTGCCTCTGGATGTGAAGGGGTTAATTCTATTTCTTGGGCAAAGTGATGAAGAGATGCATCACTTGGTTTAAGCTCCCCAAAATATTATTTGTTAATAGTCATTAATCCAAATCAAATTAAAAACAATTTTCTATCTCATGCTATTATTTTCAAACGCTAGTTTGAACAGTCACCAAAGATTGATCGAGTTGGATTGATTCTCTAGCAGGAGAAATATCTCACGCGTTTGACACTTGCTGTAAAAGAAGCAGCAACTGACACTGCGTAGATTGCTTGAATAGCTGTAAATTAATCAGATTTAAAGACTGCATTTTGTAATTTAATCTGTATAAGGGAACTAAGGCCTAGCTCTAGCCCTATGAAAAAATAACAGACTGTACTTTGAAGGTCCCTGATGGTAGCCTTGAATTGCTTCTAAAATGAATTCTTTGTTCAGAAGATCATTCATCGTCCATAGGAGCTGAAGGTTCCCTGTTTATCTGGAGATCCAGTAATTTCTGGCTGCTTCAGGGTCTCCCAAAGTTGCAGTGTTGGACTTGATGTACAGCAGGGCAGTACTTCTTAGGATTGTTCCCTTAATATAAAAGGCTGCCTTTGACAGGATTCAAAATTTACTAGCTTTTAATCTGAAATGTGAGGCATCTGTGGAGGGTAGAGCAGCCTTGGAAAATTCTAGATAGCCCTTTCACACAGGGGAGTAATTTTTTGACTGGCTAGTAAAATATCAGTAACGCTTTCATTAATATCACTGTCATTGCCTAGATAAACCATTCTGGAGAAGAAATACTGCCTGGCTGTTTTGAAAACACTGAATTACACTAGGCAATTATTTTCCTACTTCAAATGGAATGATTCAATTAGTAATAATCTACACCCCTAAAATCCATGGAAGGAATCCATGAAAGGAACTTCAAGTCTTTCCTTAAGCTGAAACAAACCACCACCAATAAACCTGTTCAATCCTTGCACAACCAGGCACCGTTGCTGATCAGGACGCTGAATCCCTATGGCTTTTCATTTATAAAGAGTACTTACACCTGAGCCAGGAGCAAAGAACATTTGAGAGTGCATGCTCTTTGGCTGCTGGTTAATTGATGGAAGATGCTATTTGTTTGAGAGTTTATTCAATAATAGATATATTTTGATTTCCCCAACAGGATTCTGAGAAGATGCAGAGATTTAAGGATGCAATTGCAGCTCAGACTAATTACACCCTTCTGGTAAGTAAAACACTGCTTTGCTTGAATAAGGACTAGTCATTTTTTTCAAGAAAAGTACAAAGATACAATCGTTAACTACTTAATCACCAGAAAATGTAGGCATCTCTAAATAGGTAAGCATCTGCTATGACACACGAAAATTTCTAATGACCTAATCACCCTCCAAATAGCCATATTCAATTAACCTCAACTTCAAAAATGCTTCCTGGAAAGCAAGATTACAAAACTCTGCATTAGACATCAGTAGCAAGACCATCACTCTTGGGCACTCGCTCTCTTACCTAGAACTGTCATGGAACATGCCACCCTGTATTCAACATATTCATAGAGAACGTGCATCTGTGAAACATTTTGTATCTGTCTCATAATTAGGCATCCCAGCCACAAATTAGGATTCCACCAAGCTTGGTGTTGTACAAACTAACAATTAAAAAATGGCCTCCATCTTAAAGAGCTTGCAATCAAAATTTAGTAAAGAGATTATTTTTTTTATAAATATTGAAAGGTTTGCAAGGGAGAACAGTTGCCAGATGAAATCAGCCTTTATTCAGTGTGCTCTGTGATCACACATGAAATGTTAGGCATGAAGATAGCCAAGAAAAGTGGCAACGGGGGATTCTAATGGGGTATGACAAGTGGACAGCTGAGGGCCTTATCCAGATGAGAAGGAAGGCTTAAAAGCAACCAACTTAACTGCTGCGTAACATGCATGAGAAATAAAACTCCAACTGCAAAATCCAGATCCCCCAAATTTACAGGTATTTAGACCCATAAACTAACATTACAGATAAGCTCAGACAGCTGTAACACTTCAGGGACCTCCCCCACCTCCCCTAAAAGGCTTGTGCATTTGTGCATTTTCTTATATGTCTCTTCCCTAGAGGAGGGAGGTCCCTATCTGGGACCTGATCCTCAGATTGATTGGTATTCTGGGAAATGTATTCTGATATTCCAAAGTGACATTTCTAATAAAGGTCGTTAACAATGAGGGAATGATTATAGTATGTTCTCTTTTAAAGACCTAAATACAGTGTCTAATAAAAGGAAGAGATGCCCTCCGGTGAAGAAATCAGTTTCGTACCAAATATAACTCATTTTCTGTTGATTAAAAATTAGACAATTCAGCCTGGCTAATGCTCTACATCCCACTGTGCCAAGATAAAGCATAGACTTACTCTACAAAGAACTTAGTCAAACCACTCATGAAATTAATAAATGTTAATAACCAGCTATGTTAAGTGAATTTGCTACCTATGGTTTTGCCTCAGACCATTGCCTAATAAACCCACGTTGTTGATTAATGTTCAAATAGTCGTAATATTCAAGAAATCATTCAATTTCAGAGGCAGTTTCAAAGGTAAATTCAGAGCACTGGAGAGGTGAAGTGTTACTTTCAGGCAAGATTTCTTCCTAAGACTGTGAAACTAAAGCAGCTGGGAAGAAAACCAGTTTTGTTTCAAGCCTTGTGCTGAGAACCCTCACCTTAGAAGATGAGACTCCACATCATCTCTAAAACAGAGGCAAGTCTTACTTCAGGGCAACTGTCTCATCTGAACCACATCAGGGCAACCTCACATTAAACACAACATACAACCAATGGAATTTCTGTACAACAGCTCTTTTTTTTTTTTTAAAAAAAAAAAAAAAGGAAATAATTCCATAAAATCACCCCTACAAGTAATTTCAGCTCCAGAAAATGTTACAAAATTCAGCCTTCAGTGTAGCTCATGGGAAAATATTAAAATTGTCATTGGAAAATTAATTTCTCTTTAAATTTAAAAAGGTCTCCAGGTATCTCTACTCTCCAAGCTCCCCTTTCCTTCTCAGAATAGCAGAATGTAATTGTTGTGTCTTTAAACTATGGGCAAGACTTACACAGTCTGTCTAAATCGTGTGTAACAGACTGAAATGTAATAGCTCCCAAGAAAAACAAAAAAAATTCACTTCATAAAACAAAAAGCAATTTAATGATTTTATTTCCCCTTGTTAGGGCTTACTAGTAGCATTGCTATCTTAAATGTGGAGCTCTAAAATTCAATTTAGTGCAGTTTTTTCCTATGCGTTGACTCACAGTTTATTTCGTTAGTCTGTCTCGGCCTCTCTTCAGACATGACATTGATCTATGTTGCAAAAATGTCATTGCTAACAGCCTTATAAATCTTATGTGATAGCAAAATATTTCCTTTGATTATCAAGTCAGTTTCCCTCTATGAGGAAAACAACGTAAACACTGCCCTGATGTATGCTACATTTTTGCAAGCATCCTTGCTCATCTGGGCTGACGAACAAATGGCCACTTTACCAATGGGTGCCTACTCCTTAATAAGCTAAACAAGATTATGCACTTCTGGGCCCCCGCTTCACGCACTTCTTAGTGGTAAAAGTGATTACCCTTTTAAAAGGAAAAGCAAACTTGTACTTTTCTTTCTTTTTTTTTTTTCTTCCCACTGTTTAGTTTTTTAAATTCTCCGCTTAAGAGGAAAACCAAGATTGTGCTCTTTTTTAAATCCTGCCTTCTCTCAGGTTGCTCATTCCCCTTGTTACAAGGGGCCTGTGCCACGGATGTATCAGTTCTGCTCAGTGTCGGACAATGTACTTTGTTCAGCATTCCTTTCCTACATGACTTCAGCCTGTTACCGGGGATCAGCTACAGCTCGGTCCTCATAATCACTGCTCTCACTAGCTAGAATAAACCTAGCATGAAGGTCTTTAAATGTATTTTTTAATCTGAGGCAATTCCTGCCTGGTTGAATTAGATATAGGCAACAAGGCAATGAAAAATTAATTCTTTCAAATTTGGAGGTGTTTTGGAACCTCCCATCTTGAAATATAAATCAAATGACACACTGGAAATTCCAAAACACACTTAGAGATTTCTAGTGTCCCATATGATCCCCTCAGCAGTTTTGGAAGCCCAGCCCATGATATTCAGCTCAGAGATGATGAACACGCAGAAGGCCAGATAACATCAGCATGTAATACATCTTAAGAGCACCTCCTTCCTAATTTTTATATCTTCAGAGCACCACATTAATTTCTAGTTACTGATAATCAGCAAAGCAAGCACATACTCAGAGGACTATCTGAACTTTACAGGCATTATATTACTTAAACCAAGTTCATCAACTCTGACCAGAAAATAAGGCAGTGACAGGCAAGAAAATGTCTCTATACTCAGTTAAATGCTGGTGTCTTATCGTGTTGTACACAGGCTATTACTGGGATGGCAATAGACAATCATCTGCTAGGGCTCAGAGAGGTGGCACGGGAACACTTCAAGGAACTGCCAGAGATATTTACGGATGAGACATATTTGACAAGCAATCGATTCATCCTCTCCACCAGCCAGGTGAGTTTCTCACGTTCACTGGTCTTGCTAAGCAAAGGCTAATTCATTCAGGTTCTGCCAGACCATGTAGCTCACAGTGAGAAAGATGTATTAAAAACAAACCAACCAAACAAATAAACCCAAAAAACCCAACACAGCTGATACCATCAAGAATTCTCAAGAAGTCCACAAAATTTTCCCAATTTTTAACGCAGTTTTGGTTCATTCTGCAAAATCAGCACAATAAATACAACTCAAGTTACCTTGCAACATACAAAGCCCTTCCTGGAAATTCTGGAAATGCATACAAACTCAGTAAAATTTGTATGAGGGCTCAGTGTTTCCTCACTTTCCAAATTACGTATCTTTCCATTCCCTTTGTTCTCCTCCTCCCCTAAGGAGACAGCTCTAGTGGGAATTCTTTACTCCAGTAACAGTACAGGCACAAACCAGCCAGTCTGCAACTCTGAGAAACAAATGCCAAGAGGCATGAGGAAATTTTACTCCTAAAAGTAGCTGTGTTTGAAATCTTTGAGAGCATTCAGTTATTCAGAGTAAGACACTAGCTCCTGTAGGCACACCTCTTGGACTTACATACATTTTAGACATTTACAGGCATTTACAGACATACATTTACTTGCAACTATACTAAGATACTCTAAGAGTCAACACTTCCTACATTTAATGTTCTGGTTAAGGAAACATCTTTCTAGCGTACAGCCTAAAAATTAAATGTTTCATTGCATATAGTAGCAGTCATAATGAAAGAAGAAATCTCGGTAGGAATTCATTTACTGAAACACTAACCTAACAGTGCAGATTGAAACTATGCAACAAAAGAGACTTATAATATTGTGCTAAAGCATAAAACCTTAATAAGTAATTTGATCTTGTCATAATGTTTGTAGGCTTTCAGCCGTGAGTGAATGTAACCAACATACTAGTACATAAATTCTCCAAGAAACTATCCATGGGCAAAGAGTGCTTCTGAATAGCTTTATGGCCTTCGGCTGTTGCACAGCAAATTTATCTGACAATTCTATGGCTCTATTAGCAGGACTAATGGCTTGTTCTACACCATTAAAAAGCCAAATGTCATTTGTGAAGGCCCATGTACACAAGTCTGAAACATATAGATTTCTAACACATCTTTTATTTTCTGCAGGAGGAAGTGTTTCACTCCTGTATTATGCTACGATTAAACTGACCTGTAATAGAAATACAGCACCTAGATGCATTAAAATGTTTTTATGCAGCATCACAATTATAAATGAGTATTAGAAACAGACAATAGTACTTTCTATAATTGATTGTAGTCTTCACATTACAAGTTTAATATAACCTCGAGATAACCTTAAGAAATTAAAAATCTTGGAGAAATTTTATGATTCATAATTTTATGTATCAGAATTACATACAACCTTAAAAAATTCCCTATCAATAACAAAGCTTATAGCTGTTAAAGAGCTACATCAAGTAAACAAAGAAATGCATTATACCACTTCAAATAATACCAGTTTTAAAACACTAACAAACAAACAGAGCAACCAAATTCTAAACTGAGATCAGCTTTTACCTTCTAAGAGTCAGCTCCAGGACTGGGCTTCTGAAGGAAGTGATATTCTAAAAGGGGATTTACCACATTTCCAGCACTTGTTTATCTTTTTCCTCATTCCTAACCAGCTGATTTCAGTTGCCCTGATTAATCAGAGATCACTCCTTATCTTCTCCCTGCAACCAGGTTCCCACTACTATGGAAATGTTCTGCTGCTATGGGCCTGTGGTGCCCAATGGTTATGGGGCATGTTATAACCCTCAGCCAGAGCATATATTATTCTGCATCTCAAGCTTCAAAGACTGTAAAGAAACCTCCTCAGACATGTTTGCAAAAGCTGTGGAAGAAAGTCTCCTAGAAATGAGAGATCTGTGCAACAAATGCAACTCTACTACGGCAAAGGCACTGGCTAAACAAGAAGCAGCCACACAGCTGCAGAGTAACCGCAAACTCTAAGCAGCTGTGGGAATTATTCTCCTGACTCCACCTTACAAAGAAACAATGACATAGTTGCTCAAAGGCAAGATAGTACTAGTAATATGTAGTAGTGTAGAACTAAAATGACATTTGTTTTACGTTGTTGCCAACATTTAAAACCCTGTAAGTATTAAGTCTACCACTTCTTGCTTGAGAGTCAGCAAAAAAAGTTTGCTTTCTCTGGCTGAAATGAAGGAGGAAGTAATACGGGTATGTGTTGTACTACCATTTCTAACCATAATTAACTTATGCCATTTTATCACCTAAAAAATTGCGTAAGTTAAATACTAAGGCACACCAATTAATTAATATCCCCTGAAAGTAGTTCTAAAATATTCACATCTATTCCTGCAAGATTTGCACGTAAAGGAAAAAAAAAGAAAAAAGAAAATTTTCATGTTGGGAATACCGAGTGTAACATTGTAAATAATAGGCTGATGCCATTGAATCTTGAAAATTTGCATGAAGAGTATTTACTACCATCACACTATTTCCTACATTAGAAAAGCAGATTATTTTTAAGAGTGGCTGCTGTGTATTTCCACAAAGAGAGTTTAGGAAGATTACACTGGTGTTTGCATGTTCCCCCAATTCAAAAATGCTGCAGGAATAATTTAGCTTTTATTGTGGTTTGCACTGGCCTCAAGCATGGTCCTACTCTGAAAGCAGTATATTGGTGATAAGATCCATCACAGAGATCACATCCAACTGGGATAATTTTGTTCGTAATTAATTGGCTTAATTATTTCTTTCTGTCAGTGAGCAAAATCCAGTCTGACAGAGAGGCAAAGCACAGAGAATAAGTGCAATTAAATCCTACTTAAGACCTTTTTTGTTTGCACAGGAATTTAGTCACTGTGAGTAGCAGGAAAGCGTATGCAACCACACAAAATCAAAGAGCAATAAGTAACTAGAATGAAGAGGCAAACTTGCAATATAAGGAAATCTCCACAATAGAGCTACAAAAACCAGTTTAAGAGTACTGGCACTCATATCATCTTTGCATCATCCCACTTGGGAGGGATTTATATTTTATATTATTTAATAGTAAATGGAGGGTATCATATTTGCAATGTATAGTAAATTCAGTTGGGAAAACACTACAGTACCTGGTAATTTCCATATTCAGTGAGTGTTATTGAGGCTTTTCTCATTATATCTTTAATTCCCTACAAATCCTTCCAAGGACTGATGTTTTCAGTTACCTTCTCTCAAGCTGAAATATGTTGCCTTCGAGGTGTTCAGTCATCATTGTTAGAATACAACTTACTCGCCGACTAAAGACACTTACCTTACTAACTCCAGTGCAGATCGTATGCTAGGCAAACTGGAGCACACTGGGAAGCCTGGCCAGCGACTGCTTACTTGCCTGTGGAGAAGTGAAGATGTTTTTTCTTCCTCTGTACACTCACAGACTCACTTAAACAATCACATGTTTAAGTACTCTCAAGCCTAAAAGCAGAATAGATTTATTACGATAAACTAGAAGCGCAGATTCATTTCTGTCTAAGAATCTAGATACAGATACAGTAGATTATATATCTCCATGCTTATTTTACTGCCTCTTTGGAGTTGCATCCGTGCGATTGAGCAGTCTGCTGGATAAAGGCTATCCACAGCCCCATACATGAAAGCACAGTGAGCCTGATGATCAATTGGATCAAGTCAGCTATGTTGGCGTAAATCAACTACGTTGATTTACAGTGATTGAGAGCTGGCCTCATTTCTTTAAAGTTAATGCGTTCATTTAAAAATACGTATGTTTCAGTACTCCATGAGCTGTGGTTCAAACCAAAGATGAAATCTATTTTTAGATTATATAAATAATATTATGGCATAAAAGCTGCCCCAAAGTTTAAAAAAAATAATCAAGAAAACTGGTAGTGAAACCAAATATTCACTTAATGTTCACTGTTCAAAGTAGGATTTTAAATTGTTCCTATACTATAATTATGAAAATCACTTTGAAACATTCCCAGTAATTTTGCCTTGTTCTGTCTCTTGTAAGGCATTCTGCATTTTTTACACACATTTTTAACACTACAATCTCAAGATGTTTTCATAGATTTGTATGTTTAAAATTATAACCATATTTTAAGTGTATAAAAATGCTGCAAATATTTATTTGATTATTTATTAATTTGCTTCTATTGAAATATGTAATTTTATTTTGTATTCCTAGTTCAATAGGTACTGACATTTATTCACAAATGTTACCTGTGTTTTCATTTTACTTTCTCATCTGGAATTTTAACAGTACCTCAGACACTGTACTTGACAACACAGTCAATGAGAATTCGGGCAGAAACTATAACTTATACCAACTTATCATTAAGAGCCCCTTAGTCTACAGCTGCCCTAACAGGTGTTTTGGATTCTCCAACACTGAAAAATACTGGTGTTGGAAAGTATTGACACCATATTTTTACTTGAGGAAGAAACCAGTGACCACCCATACTTTCTATTTATTTAGCTAGCCATTCCATACTTGCATCTTAGATACTGACTGATCTGGTTTTAGTGCTTAGTCCAAATACCTGAAATGAGCAACTTGAATGAACTCAGTCCCTCCAGAAGAAGGCATTTGCATACGTACTTAACCTTAGCCATTACCTATGCTAGAAGTGGTATCTGCAAAGTACCTGACTTCATACTCACTTCAGGTGTGTTTAATTGGAGGCTCCTGCTTAAATTACAGATGGATAAAATTCACAGCAAAGGGTGTTACAAACTTCAGTTTCCCAGCAGGAGATTCATGAGGGACTGTGCTTCTTCTCAGTTAACAGAATCCTCTACACCTATGTCATATGATCCCACGCTGCAGCTGCATCTATTAAGGATTTCAGGAAATAGGTAGCTTTCTTAGGTACTTATTTAAAATTGTTTGTGTTATACAAATGAAGTTCTCTTCTGAAGTTTAAAAATAGACATGCACTTATGGAAATCAAATGTGAAGCTTTCAAAATGTTTCCAACCAGAAAACCATGGAATAGGTTGTTCATTATAAAAAGGGAGGGAATCTTGACTGACAAAGTAAGTGTAATTATGTTAACGTAACAAGTGGCAATGATTTAATAAGACCCCTTGGTGAGACCTGGGACATACAAACCCCCTGCAAGAGAATTTTAAGAAAGCAATTGTTTCACTCTCTCCGTAGGTGTACACCCACATACACGCAGTACTGGGATACAGAAATTAAAAAGCCAGTTATTGTGAACATCTATATTTGCAGTAAGCAAAAGCAAGAGACCCTGGACTGGCAGCCAGTGGTGGTTGAAAGGTGTGAGGGCCCGGCCCCCTCCGTGGGTGGTGTCATTAGTCAGGCCACGGCCGGGGCAACACAGCCCGCCCGGTTTCTTCTGGTGTACCAGTTGCAGAAGACATAGAACTATTTTAGTGATACTTTTATTTTTATAAAATAGTATAGATTTATGACAAATGTAAATGTGTATTTATAGCACCTTCTGTTCCTGTTTTGTGCTCTATCAAAAGATATTTATCTGCCTATATTGCTATATACAACCTGAAGTGTACGCTTATTTAAATTCACCTTATTTAAAGACGGCGTCCCGCACAGCAAATAAAAACTACCAGAGCAAAGACTTTGTCGCCTATTTTTTACGCCAGGCAGCCCCTTAACCCCGCCAGCGGCCGTCACCCCGCGCCGGGCCGCGGCCCCTCACAGGGGTGAGGTGGGACAGCGCCGCCAACGGCTCCCTAACGGCTCCTAACGGCTACCAACGGCTGCCGGGCGGCGCGCGCCTCCCGCCTCAGGGCCTGCCAGCTGCGCGGGAATGTGCGCGTGTGGGGGGGTGTCCCTCAGCAGCCGGCTCACCCGGCGGCATCGGCCGAAGCCCCAAACCGCCCCGCAGGGCTGGAAATGGCGGCCCGGTGGTGGAAATGCTGTGGTGGTGGGCTGCAGAGAGGGGTTCTAGCAATTGCGTGTGAGGAAGTGAAGAGCTGGTCCTAAATATTGCCTCAGAAAGGACAAACACTTCCAGCGCTTACGTGTGCTATAGTAAGCTTGTATTACAGCGTGTATATATTTCTCTTTTCCAATTACACAAACCTCATTAAAAACACAGGCTTTTCAGTCAGCAAGAAATGGCCCTGCTGCAGATCCAACAGAGGAGCAGGGTGTCACGGAGCTACCGAGTCCTCCAGAAGTTTACTATCCAAACCTAACATATCACCCACAGAAGAAGGGATATCTATTTCTTTCTGATTCCTCATGAATTACAGACTGGCGTAGTCTATCTTCTGTTTGCTGAGGAATGAGCAACAGTTTTCTTCTGATGCTCTCCAACTGTAAGAGGATACATAACAAAAATTTCTGCCTAGCAAAATTAATCTAAGGTTGCAAGATAAATCAAATTGTACATGTGTGATCTAAAGTATTCCGATAAGTAAAATTTTGTGATTATAAAGGCTTTAGATCACATAGATGGATACAAATAAAAGAAGGATAAACTCAGTGTCAGACAAATCACTGTTTACTCAACACTGGAAACTTACAAAGAGCAGGAATTAATTAATAATTAGCAGCAATTCATTCCAATTATCCTACTAGAGTTGCTACATCATTGCAATGTACCTGAGGCAGAGCAAGAGGGACCAGGCCTCAAGCTAGGGAAACTACTGAGGGTTTGTTGGGATATTTTTTTTTAATGTAGAGCAAACAGTGTAGAGATGTCATCTCTTTCATCCATTTTATAAATCTGAATTAATTGTCAGATATTGCCATTAAAGCTTCCTAGAAAGCAGGGAGAGCTGTCTGATGAGGATGGCAAAATAGCTGCTGCGGCTAAAAGCACGCTGCTTTAGGAACTAGGCTCCTGCCTCAGCCATTTTCTGTAGTTTTTCAGTAAGTTGAATTAAAATGTTGTGAACAGCAGTGACAGGTGGACACAGTTAGGTTAAATGTTTGAGAAACACTGACCCTTGCAAGTCACAGAGCTACAGTGGAATTGGGGTAGAGGAAGCAGTTCCTCTACCTGCCTTTACCTTTGAAAGACAGACCAAACCAACTGATGTGTATCAGGCAGTATGCTGTCTCAGCCTTACATATAGCTGATAAAAGCCTGGAAAGGTGAGTGCCTAAATGTCTGACTGTATGGGAATCCGCTTCTGCCTTGTAAAACAAGTCAATAGAATAAGATGAATTAAAAAAAATTGAAATCTAGGGGTGCGCAGACAGAAGCACGTGGCATTTCTGCGTTGCTGGAATTGCATTATCAGTCAGTTGTCTGATTTCTCCGGTTCTGATTAATTTACAACAACACTATACAATGTACCATAATAAACTCCAAATGCACCTAATTAATCTAAACAAATATGTAGGTCAAGAGAGGATTTTGTCCCTGCTTCTGGTTTCATTCTCAGCTCCACAAAATCTCAAGTCTTTAACATCCTGAGGAATTACTCCTTCAGCAGAAGTGAAATGAATTATGCGCCAATGAACAATTGGGTTATCAAGGTTGTTCACTTCATGTTCCAGCTGTTCTATAGCAACATCTTAACATTTATTGGAGATTTCTTTTGAATTTAGTCTTATTCCATGGTACTTACAAATAAATGCATTGCATTTCTTACAGCTGCAGTACCAGTTAATAGCAAATACAAGTACATAATGAATTTGTTGCCTTTTACTGCTAGAACTAGAAATGACGGAGGGTGGAGGCTTCATTCAAAGGAGATCCATTAATGTAATAATAGTGAAGCCAGAGATTAAAGCTGATAGGATTTGTGGGGAGTTTTGTACAGCACTTAACTACATTAACACTGTTATTTGCTCCTTGCCCTCCTAAGTGCTAAAACTTAGATATACTCAGAGTTCACAGGAAACCAAGCAAATGCAGTACTGGTCACTGCTGCTTTGCCCCTTTCCAACTGTCCTACAGGCAGATGGACATCAGCTTATTCTGGAAGAGACACCAGAGTGGAACCAGCTGTAGTGGGCGGTCAGTGGGGAGACTGTATTTCACTGCAACATCAGGACCTGAATATTGGCAAGTACAAAGTTTAATTCATCAGAGTCTTTCACTGAAAGCACTTGCATTTTGAAACGAGCGCTACCTAAGGCATAAGCTGTCCGGGCTCTGTCAACATTAACACTTCTAAGCTCTGCAGTCCTTTATGTTTGAGGTAGTTTGAAGGGCACAGTCAGAAAGAGAGGATGGTTTGGGAGGTATGGCCATGCTCAGGAGACCACCGTTTTGGGGCCTTCCTGCATGCACCAGCACACAATCACAAGCAAACCTGCTAGGCTTCAGTCCACAGAGATATTAGGACATCCTTTTGCTTTCCAAATAGAAAATATTTTTCTCTGCTTGGGCCTTAGTTTCTTTGGGTTTTTTGTCTTCCCCTTTTCCCTCCCAGCAAAACATAGAAGCCTCAGAGAGTTATTTTTTTATCATTTTTTGCTGCAGGTGACACAAGGAGTTCAAGGCTCAAGTTTTCTCATCTCCTGTGCAAGTGGCTTCCAGAGAAAGGCTGAAAGCCATTGCTTCTCACCTCCCCATTTTTTAACAACCTCTCTGCTCCACAACTCCCGTTCCCAGCCGTAAAAGCAGAGAACTGACCAAGGGTAATGGCATTTCCAGCACCACAGCTGGGTTAAGAAAGTTTTAGTTTTACTGTATTCACTGCCCTCTGTGACATCACCCTGAGGACATTTCTGACAGATCTCCAAGTTAGAATGACAGCAGTTTTGTAGAAAGATATTAAGCTTTAATAGATCAACTTGTTTAGCTGAAATAAATAAACTCTGAGGAACACAAAGCTTCAGGTCTGAAAGAGAAGCAGCAAACTTCAAGGCAAGTATGGATTCAAAACAACTGCTCTGATTGCCCTTTAGAGTAATACTATGACCAAATTGTGAAAAACCAGAAACAGATGAGAAAAGATTTTTTTTATATGACAGGTATCTTCCAGCGAGATAAAAAATTACCTCCATCAGACATTTTGAACACAGCTGGCTAGAATGTATAAAGAAATCTCAGGCCCCATTATTGTGGTTTTGTTACAGAAGGGAAAAATAAATCCAAGTTTGAAGTAGCCCTTTCAGTTTGGTACCCGTCCCCCAAACACCACCTGCGATGAGTTGCCATGGCACTAGCAAGCAGCTGGATGTTTGAAGGCACCATAGTAGCCACTTGGACAAAGGCATTTAATTTTTTTTATATGTGAAATAACCACTTTTTTCCTCTAAGTCTCCCTCATTTTTAAGGGGATTATCTGCCCCACAGATAATCACGGCCATTTGAAAACTGAACCTAGGCTGCAAGTCCTCTCTACAGTGACTTTCATCCAGACTATTGTGATAAAGTCAAATCAGGAGGAAGAAAACAGCAGCAGCAAATTATTCCAGTAGTAACACCAACTAAATTGCTGTGCAGCTTTTATGGTTTGACTAATTGTCTCATTAAGACACATTTCTGATCACTGAAATGGATCTCAAGTATTTTTAATCACTGAAAAAAACTGTAGCACTAAGAGCCTCTCTCCCTCCTGTCCCTGGCACTATTTGCAATGGAAAACACACAAAGGCTCCCGTTGATTGGAGCCCCGCTGCTGCACAGCTGGCAGTCAAATGGTACTAATGGCACAGTAACACAATATGACTAAAATAGTTTGCCTTTTAGAGTAACAATCTCTTATAACATGATTAAGCTCTATCCTGCACATTTCTTTATGTTTTGCAAATGGCTCAAAAAAATCTGACAGTTTTTCCAGTAATCTCTTCAAAAGGAGAGGGAAAATAAAAAATCATTAGCTATCAAGGAACAAATTAACAACACTTGATATATTAAAAAAAAAGATGAAAACAACTGCACCAAGCGCAGGCTGCACAGCAGCATGGTTGTGTGGCACCTAGTCCACTCCCCCTTACAGGACGCACCTCCAAAGACCAAGTTCGTCACATTTAATTGCAGACACTTCACTGAAGCACTTAATTTAGGAGCTGGCTTGCCCTAGGCTACCTCTGTAACCAATGGAGAGACGCATCTCCACAGAGCAATGCAGATCTCTACTGAGCATAGACTGTAGGATCTGTGGGCTCCTAATTTAGGTACTTTTTTAATGCATTATCCAACACACTACTGACATGCTCTTCACACCCTCAGCAAACAGGAAGATTTTGCTCTTGACCATCACTCCCAGTGGTTGCACAAGCTGTACATTGCAACAAGGCATTTTCCCTTACAAGAGTTGCATTTATCCCATACGTTACCATATTAAAGACAGCAGCCACTTAATTTTCCAGTAGCTTATTCTCAGAAGCCTCATGCCAGAGTGGCACAGCTATTGCTAAGAGAGACGTACACTTTCATGGTGGCCAAGCCAGCCTGATCCAAAAAACCTGCAAAAGCCTAGGAGCTCTTTTGTGGAAATGGAAGTGATGCATGGGAAGAAAATCACTCCATACAAATACTCCAGAAGAGCTGAAAAGATCCACTTTATTCTCAGACGTGTTTTGCTAATTTTGAAGTGACTGTACGATGGTAATCATCAACTTCCCATGGGTGCAATTCTAATTGATACTTGGAAAAATAAAGCAACATACAGCTGATATCAACACAGTTCTCAGAAAAGAGTTT